AGAAGTACATCAGCAAAATGGACAGAAATAAACTGGCAGCTGATCTTAATCTCAAGGAGTCACAGGTAATCAAATGAATGTTACGTCATTTAAAAAAATTCTATAATCCCACTGAATTAAAATGGAGTCAGCAAGTCTTTAGGTATTACAATTACTAGGTCACCATTTTTATATAAAAATAAGTTATGTCCAAACTCCTATACACAAGACGAAACCAGTGGTTTATAAAACGGCTTGTTCTAGTATAAAGGTAGTTGCACAGCTGTATGAGTGATAAGGAACTAAAAGGCTTTTTTCATCATGATTTAGGTGAAGATCTGGTTCCAAAACCGCCGCATGAAATGGAGAAACCGCAAGGAGAAGGAGTTTCATGGCATTCGCTCTCCAATGAACGAGCTCCTGGCCAGAGGACTGGCTCAGGAGGAGGAACGACCGTCACACAACCACATGTACGCAACAGCAGAGACTTCTGCAGCACAGAGGAACACCAGGGACACATGAGGCCTTAACGAGTCGATGCGAACATAGAGACTTCATCAAAGACTGTAGTTCTGGAAGGATATTCAAAACTATAGAATACTGAAAATATACAGAAAGAACTTCCTTTCAATCGCTCAGTAACTTTGTTGGATTACACACTTCAGTAAGTAACTTCATAGTCATCCTCCAAGACTCTCCATGAAAAACTCGTCAGAGGCCAAATATGAGTCACTTCATTTACTCTTTGCAAGTTACAGTTTTGTACATAGTCTGGTCAACTTTACACTAATACTTTTATCTTTGATGCCTTTCCATTTGTTTTTGAAGTCATAACAATTAAAAATTTTACAACCTTTCCTTTTTTTCTCCAGAATTTAGATAATTAATAGTGTTTTGCTTTTTTCTGGTGTCTATCTGTACCATCTCAGACACTATTTCCTCTCCATCCTGCAGCTTGGGAACCACGTTGGTGATGTCCAGAGTTTTGTTGTGGCTCTGAAGGTTTAAGTTTTGATCCTGAGGTATGCTCTGCTAAAGCTGTGAAAGGAATCAGTGCAAACAGCCACAGTATGACCTCTGTCATTTGCTCTTGCAGTACAAGAGAGAATTCTTTAAAATACTTTCTTTGACTGGAGCGTCTTTCCAGACACCATGCAGTTATTGTTTTGATCTTATTTCTGACTTTAAGTAAAGTCACGGCCATTTGTCTGAAACATCTGGGACTTCCCTGACTTTCATTCTGTGCATTTGCTTTTGTCATATAGTGCATATTTGTTTTCCTACAAGACCTATTGCCTTATTTTCCACCATACAAGTCGCACCGCCCTATAAGTTGCATCAGTCCAAATATGTCTAATAAAGTGGAAAAATCCATAAATATGTCGCTTCGCCATATACATTGCATCTATTATGCATCACCGCTGACAACCCGGAAATGTGGGCCAGTGTTGTGCCAAAAATCGATGGGCTGCCAAATGGCGGCCACGGAAGTGTGCATGAGAGAACTTTGACAAGAATTTAACAAGATTAACACTTAAAAACAATTATTTATTTGCTCAGAATTATAGTAAATGTGTGTCTCAGTCTAACGTTTGTTTAATAAATGAACTTTGACGGTCAAATCAGCTGCATTTCAAAAGCCGATACGCAGAAGTAAATGCGTGCAAGCGACAAGTTGTTGTACAAATTTAACAAGATAAACACCTAAACAATTATTTGTTTTCTCGAAATTATAGCAAAGGTGTGTCTCAGTCCAGCGTTTGCTTAATAAATGCACTTTAATGGTCAAATTAGCTTAATTTCACCGGGGCGATGCAGCGAAATGAAACTGGTTTGACGGTCGGTTCAAGTAGCGAGCCGAACCAAGGTGGGGAGACTGTGGCAAGCCGACGGTATCATTAAAAGTTGGTGAAGAGTCTCAGTCATCCAGGATATGGTAAATTCAAAAAAGTTCAAGAAAACATGTATAAAGTGTAATAAATAAACTCCAGTTGTTTTTGTCTTGAACTTTTTTGAATTTGTCATTATAGCCACGTTTACCAATTACATGAAACAACAGCATGCCACACTACTACTACTCTGCTGCCATCAAGTGACTGAAAGTGGCACTGCTTTTTTTTTTTTTTCAGTCAGACTGAATGAAAACCATCATCTCAGCCAAAAAAATGGTTTATAAATATGGGAAAAAATCCAAAAATATGTTGCCTTGGCCTATAAGTTGCAGGCCATGTAACTTATGTAGAAGGCAGGCTGGGATAGCACCGACGCAGCAGGTAAAAAGAGAAGTTTTACTTTAAATTTTTTTTGTCAGAGTCGGAGTTTCTTTATTGTCATTCGCACCACATGCGGTACATGTGGTGGAGCAAGATTATGTACACAGGGTCCCAGTTACATCCAACAATAAAATGTCTAAGAAAAACAGTAATAAGATCTAAGATATGAACTAAGAAAAATATCAACTAAAAATACACTAAGCACTAACAGCATAAAAATATTACGTCAAACAGCAGCACGAACATGAGCATGAGTCTGTGTGAGCAGATGAGCACGCATGAACACATCAACATGAAACGGATCAACAGCAACATGATGTGATTTTTCACAATGATAATCCTGGTCAGAGAAATGCGTGTTTGTTTACCCTGCGGAGCGGGGCTTGGTCTGTTTACATTCACACTGTACTCGAACCGGGCTGGAGTTCGCTTCTACCGGACCGAGACCTAGGATTTAGCCCGGGCCAGAGTTCGCCTTTTTGTTCCGTGACAGAGTTCGATGGCGCGTTCACACCTCCCTAAACGAGCCTGACTTTCTAGGAAAACGAGCTAGAGTTCGATTAAAGCGGACTGAACAGGGCTGGTGTGAATGCACCCTTAATGTCTGTGATGAAAGGGAGGCTGACTCCAACAGCTCTTTTGTTTGAGCGCCTTTACCTTTCTTCATGTTTCCTTTGTTGCACTAGAGAAAAAGATTATCCTTCTTGCCAAAAGTTAGTCTTGCATGCAAAAATAAAAGGCTTTTGATTGAATGAATTAAGTTTAAAGAGGATTGGTTGAAGTGTTTTGTAAGCCTAGTAGCCGGAAGCACACAAAACTAACGCTGAATTATATATTTTGCAGTTAATTGGTGTAGAGACTAAATATTTTGGAATTTCAAAAGTCCTATACCTTATTTATTCACAAACACATACAATTTTATTTACCATATTTTTCGGCCTGAGTTGTGTTTTTTGGCATAATCTGCATGCCCTGCAACTTATACGCCAACGCGATGTATTCATGGATTTTTTTCTCCCATATTCATAAACTAATTTCTGGCTGAGATACGACCGGTTTGATTCAGTCTAACTGAAAATATTGAATATTACCATTTCAGCCGCTAGATAGCACTCAAGTTGTATGGCATGCTGTTGTGTTATGCAATAGGTAAAAGTGGCTATTCATGACACAATTGGTTTGCCAAAGCCTGCCCTTTGTCCAGCTTGCCTGGAGCAACCATCAAATCATCTTCATTTTGCTGCACCGCCTCAACAAAATGCAGCTAATTTGACCAATGAAGTGCATTTAGCAAGTAAAAGTTCAACTGAGACAATGTCAAGCAAACAAATAATTGTTTTTAAGTGTTAATCTTATTAAATTCTTGTTAAAGTCCTCCTGTGCACACTCCCGCAGCTGCCATTTGGCAGCCAGTTGATTTTGGGCACAGCACTGGTCCACGTTTCTGGGTTGTCAGTAGTGATGCACAATGAATGTGATGTTTATGGATTTTTCCACTTTTTTAGACATTTTTGAACTGATGCAACCTATATGGTGGAAAATATAGTAATTTCTTCACATAACCCTTAACGGATTCATTGTTGGTTTTGTTGCTATGTTCATTATATTTAGATTTTTTTTTTTAGTTTTCTTTAGTCTGAACCCCCATGTAAAGTGCATCTTGTTTTATGAAAGGCATTACTTAAAGTTATTTTATTAGGATTAAAAAGAGACAGTAAACTGATAATTTTGATAGTTGGTTCTCAGTCAGAAATGTATTTGAATAAAACAAAACTAAAAGTAGATGTAAATAAAAGCATTTTTAGTTAATAAAAAATAAAAAATATATAAAAAATGAAACCATACATGAACACGAATTATAAGAGAAATACTTTATAATTTGATCAGATTAACCTACAAAATATGTTTAGGAATCTTAAATTAGAAGAAAACTGGAAGACTTTGTTACAGAAATCATGATAAAATGTTTGTAATGAACACTTTGCCTTTCATAGATCATAAAAAACATTTTGATTTTAAATAAAACCTTAACTGACTTAAACCCACACATTCTTGAAACTAAAATAACCCGTTAACCAAAGTCTAGTTGATCATTACATTGCACATGTGATTATTATATGAACCTAAGGTAATATATCATCTCTTACACTTCCTTTTCACTCATCCATTTGAAATAATTAGTGCCTAATGGATTAACTAATAATTTTAAACTGAAAACAGCAAATTATCTACAAATGGAACGATGTGAAACTAAAAACAAAAATCAAAGTCTTGAACGTGAGATGTTTGTCCAAAAGTTCCATCATTTGTCTTATTATCGCACTTTGTAAAGAAGGTCTGCTGCAAATAAAGTCACGAGTCATCCATAAACAGTTGGACATCACATCAGGTATCAGACACTTGTCAAACGATGTGTAATAAAGCCCATACATAGTACCTGTGCTTTAATGTTGTTAAATGTAGGTTACATAAACGCCCACAAATAGATTTAAGGAGGGCAGGAAGGGAAAATGTTCAAACAACCTACAAAGCACGTTTTATTTATGGCACCAATGTTTCCTGACATCCTTATACACTTCCTTACAATACACACAAAAAGATGTTATAAATATTTTATTATGCATTAAAAAATAATTTATGAATGCACATTTATTATTCTATTTACAGGTTTGAGTGTCATAATAACGTTAATGAATGAGACGTGGTGTAAGACCGACAGGCTCTTTAAATCCTGACACTAAATAGTTTTTAACACCTGTGGTGTTTCCACCTGCGAGTGGCCAAGGCAATGCCTGCGTCCTTTTTGTGCCAGGGGAAGAGATGAGTGAGGGCAACCACTCCATTAGGCAGCACAGAGCCTGTCAGCACGTAAAGCTGGGAGCGTCCGGGACGCACTAAAGCACCGGCACATCGGAGGTTGATGAGGAGCCACTCCTGCAGCAGAAGCTGCGTGTCATACGGCAACAGGGGCCCCTGACGAATAAACTCAACTCGACCCTGCACCTGAAACTCCGGCTGTCCTGTGGAGCGACGAAGGCAGTGAAGTTTGGCAGTCACAGCTGAGGAGAGGGGGAAAAAAGGCTTAAACCAGAAAGTCTTGATATATATGAGTAAAATCTGAAATACATCAGTACAGCAGAGGAGACTGTGGAAACATACCAAAGTCATGGTGGCAAAAAGCACTCAGGACTGTCTTCACTGCAGGAAACGATTGTACAGTAGGACAGTTTTGGCAGACAGGTTTGGGTAAATCTGCAATGAAAAAGAAAATAATTTAACGAAAAGACATTTACAAAGTGATTGCAGAGTTTAAAACAAATGGATTGTGGTCACAACCTTTAAAAAAGCGGTTGAACTTCCCATGAGGAGTTAGACATGTGTCTTCGTCAGTCGGGAAGCGGTCGCAGTGAAAAACTTCAGGCCACAGGTGTCCCTGGCAGGCGAGCACCGGGGCGCAGCTGTCCCTCACTGCCATGCACAAGCTGCGGCATGGCTGGATGAACCTGAGGGGGCAAACCTTATGGAACTCAAATGGCCGCACTGCTTTAAAAAAAGGTAAAAATAGAAAACTTTAAATCTGCTTACGTGTCGAGGCAGACAGGTGCAATGATGGAGCAGAGGAAGGTCTGCGCTTGAGGGTGGCAGCCTGTTTGCAGCAGGGGCCTCCAGTCCTCCGAGCGTGGTACCACCTCTTTTTCTAGGTTGCTGTGGCCTAAAAAGTTTGGCAGCCGCATCTCAGAGTACCCGACGTCTTTGCAGACCCTCATCTGGTTGGGGATTGTAACACAACGAGTGGACTGACTCATGTCAAATGCCAACAACCGAGGTGTCATGGCAACGAGAGCCACAGTAAAGAACAAAGCCATGCTGGCAAGTTTGCCAAGTCCCAAAAGTGCACAAGGCTGACGAGCGTTCTCTGTGGCCGTGTCTCTGCAGTTCTGCTTATTCAGGTTTCCTTATATACAGCAAGGTGAGCCAGCCCCCATCAGTCTGCCACTCTCTTATCAACTACCTATCAAAGAGACGATGTGTTTGGAGACAACAACTTGTTTGTGATCTCTGCAGACAGAAAGGGAGCAGTGAGCAGATGGTGGGTGTGAGCTGGAGGGGGTAAGGGCAATCACACCCCCCATTCAATGAAGAAAGACCAGCGGCACAATCTGCTGTATTCACTTGCACAAGCTAAAATAGATTTAAAAACAGACTTAATACTAAAGAACTCAACTCACACTGAGCAACCTAAAGAACCTCTCAAATATTACATATCACAGAGCATTTGTTTTTATACAGTGAAGACTATTTTGAGCACTTTTGGGATAATCCACCTCTTAAGGCTTGCTTCTTCACACATCTCTGTAACTGTAGGATTTAATTAGTTCTCACTAAAATAAATAAAATGTGTTTTACCAGCCAACTCCTTTAATATTTGATACAAGAGGATCACTTCATATATTCCCACTCTCATGATAAAATCCATACATAAAAGATCTTGAAAACACTTGGGAGGCATGCAGATCATGTAAAGCACATGTGTGCGCGCGCACACACACACACACACACGGATGTACATGTACTGTATATACGATTAGTCACAAAAATTCAGAAAGAAATTTCAGTTTCCCTTTCAATGTTCATCCATCCAGTCTTGAGTATCCAAATCTCCTAATCCAACAACCTGTCATTAGAACGTCCTGCATGCTCAAAACCCAGGTAGAAATATCTAACAAGGTGAAGTCAGGTCCTCTGGATTGATTCTTCTTTGTTGAAACGTTATAATTTTATCCAAAATGCACTGAAGAAGTCTTTTGGATAAAAGACGAAACGTAAACCTTATTAAACTTACATCAGAACGTTTGTTTGAATTGTGTCTTCTCCAGATTTAGATTGGCATCTATACGACTGGTCCCTCGGGGTCTTTTGTGTCGTGGATTAGAGCACTCCGACTGCTGTCAGTCAAACTAAAAGGGTCTCTGATTGGCCTTTGTCCTATTTTTGTGGCCTTGTCTGGAAGAACACTGAACATGTAGCCAGCCAGAGCTGAGCCACATTTCACAGCATGATCTAATGAGTGGAGGGTTCCAGACTGGTGTTCAGATGAGTTCAGCCCGTAAGAGGTGACTAACTGGGTAATTAAGAGTCCCAGACTAATTTGGGAGAACAACGCGTCCACACATTTGACAAGCTTTCCCTGCCAGGAGCCCAGCAGGGTTTGTTGTTGGGGCTAATGGCAGCCGTGTAGACAGTGTGTCTGTCTGGGTGGCCTATTATCAGCAGACAGAAAAAGTGATCGCTGGGTGAGGTAAATGTTTGAACCATGAAACGTCAAAGCCATAATCCATCCAATATACCAATATCTTCAGAAATTGATTATCCCTGTAATCACAAATAAATCTCAGTTCAAGACAAACTGTATATCCTTGGGATTCAACTGGGCTTGTGCAAGCTGTCAACATCTGGACAATTTAAAGATTAATACCTCATTCTTGTATTTTTTGTGTTTGCTGTGTGGCAGAGCAGATTATGCAACCACCACCATATGATTTCCATGAAGGGGTGCACTTACTCAGCAAGGTTCAGACAGTTCAATGGTTTTAACAGAAAGAGCATCAACTTGGTGTTCCTGCTTGTTGTACTGTATAAGAGCATGTTTGATGAGTTTTAAATAGAATTCAAAATCTTACATAGCTCTCAACAACCTAGCTCCATCTTATATTACAGATATTATTGTGCTATATTTTTCGAAAAGAGCACTTTGCTCTGACTGCAGGTTTACTTGCAGTTCCTTGTTTCCAAGAGCAGAATGGGAGGAAGATCTTTCAGTTCTCAGGCTCCTCTCTTGTGGAACCAACTTCCAGTTTCTGTCCGTGAGGCTGACACATTGTCCAGTTTTAATACTGGACTCAAGACTTTCCTTTTAGACAAGTTAGTTGGCTTGGTCTCCTGGCCTATTCTTTATCTTATGCTGCTATAACCTTGGACTACTGAAGGACAATTTTACATTTCATCAAATGAATAGTTACAAATACATACAAATGAATAGTTAGTATTTGTAATTATTATTTCTTAACATGTGATTTCTGTCTTTGGCCTTTCCTCCTAGAGAAAACCTGATGGCCTCCATCCTGGACCTGCCGTTGCGTGTTTTTCTCCTTCCTGTCCTCTTAAACCAGCCGGTCGAAGCAGATGGCCGCTTGTCCTGAGCCTGGTTCTGCTGGTTCTTCCTCATGAGGGAGTTTTTCCTTTCCACTGTTCCCCCTTGTGCTTGCTCAGGAGATTGTGATGTGAAAACTCAAAACAATCTGTTGGCTCCTCAGATAAATAACATTAACTGACTTTATATGTGGATGTTTCTGTTCAGTGCCCTGAGAGGACTTCTGCTCCGACTTGGTGCTATAGAAACAAAATTATTGCTTTTTTATTATAAAATCACCAGTTCTCTTTCCTTGAACCTCTGGAGAACACAAGAAAGGAAGTTACTATGTTTGACCCTTCCAACAAAGTCAGGTTCTCTAGATTTCTTTTTGTTGAAATGTTTAGTCTTTCGTCCAAGACTTCATCAGTCCAAAAGATGAAACGTTTCAAAAAAAAAAAAAGAAACTGTCCAGAGGACCGGACTTAACTTTGTTGGATTTTTCTACCTGGATAATTGAGCATGAATCAGGTTGTTTGAACCTTGCTTGGACATTTTTGGACCATAATTTCAGCTTAATTACAGTAACTTGGGCAGCTGTGGTTGAGTGGTTGGAGTGGTCGCACTCCAGTGGGAGAGTTGGGGGTTCGATTCCACCAGCAGTCACATGCCTAAGTGTTCCTGAGCAAGACACTGAATGCCGCATTGCGCAATCATGCGTGTCCCATTGGTGTATGAATGTAATAAAGTACTGATTACTTTGTACAGATCTAGTCGTGTGCTGTATGAATGGGTAAATGACAGATTGCGTTGTAAAGAGCTTTGAGTGTCTTGACAAGATAGAAAGACGTTATACAAGTAGTCTGTTTAGTTTACCTAAACTGTCCCTTTTTGCTGCTTTTGAAACAACTTGATGAAATGTTCACATAATGCCAAATGTTCTTTACAAACCCTTTTCCACATTATTTTGCACTTAAGAGATCTGTGCATATTCAACTGTCTTGATCCTAGTAATTATGTCATTGCAGCCTTATTTCCTACTGCATTGCTTCTACAAACCTTATTATTCCAATAGTGGTAAAAATTAAATGTTTTCCTGTTTAAATTCAAAGATTTTTTCAGCCACTGAACCTTAGTGGAGGTACCAAATGTCTAACAGCTGACCCATCTGAAATGCAGGTGTGACATTCAGCACATTAGTAAATACAGAAGGTTTGCAACATTCGAAAGATGAAAAATTATTCGGCTTTGGAGGATTCCATCCCCAAAATTTCAATGAAATTTGTTGAACGTGACTACATTTGTTAAATACTGTGTCCAGAAATCCAACATCCTTTGAGCCTTTTCTGGGTTTTAAACTACAACTTTGAGGTTGATCAATTTCTCCTAAACTACCACACTATTTTATGCTCCTGAAATCATGTCCTTTGACCTGCCTCAGTACCACCAGCTTTAAAAAAACAGCTTTTATCACAATTCTTTAGCACAGACCTCAACATTTTAGTAGAACTGAAGTCTTCACTCAACAACCAGAAGATAAAACCTCAGAAACATCTCGAGCTTGTGCCTACAGTCATTAGCATATCAATCCAATGTTTAGAGTATTCTTGCTAAGCAGCAGCCTGCAGTGGCAGATTGGGACAGCACAATAAGCACCTGAGACACACATCAAAGACAAGCATTTGCTTGAAAGAGGGCGGAGGATTGTCTAATTGGGCTCTCTCACAGTATAAACTTAAAAGCAGTCTCCTCTTGTACATAAGAGACTCATTAACTTAACACTGAACCCTTCTTTTTCCCCCTGACCTCTCACTCCCATCCCTTCATCCTGCGGGCTCCAGTATGACTGACAGACGCTGCACAGACCGTCAGTAACACTCACATGTCACATCCAGTCTCTGAGCCTGATTATGGGCAGACGCTGGCTTGTTGACGTGAGCAGACGACTTGAAACCTGCAGACATCTATCTGTTGAAGCCAAAAATGAAAATGACAGAAAACAAAAACAGCTCAGGTGTATATAAGCATAATCTTTATTTCTTACCCCAGTAGAACAGATTTGACCTCTAACACAAAACAAAATGTTGAAAAATAAAGAGGTAGAGATCATTTGAAACCAGTAACAGCAGAGACAAACAAAAAGAAAACTAAAGACAGGTCCAGGCAGATCGTCAGTGAGTCCTTCTTTCTCGGCCTTTACTTCTTTTCAGCTCTGTGAAAATAAACCCACGTGTTTATTTTATTCATTCAATTAATTAACTGGAAAGTTACTTTAGTAAAACTTTAATTAATGTCATTAAAAACCCTTTTCTGTACATTCTGAGTGAAGACTGTGATACGAACATGTGAGTGTTCCTCAGGAAAGGAGGGGGGTCACAGCCCAGATAGGCCCCGTTGTTAAAACAGAACTGCAGCAGAGCCCTGAAGCACGAATCCTGGAAATAAATGACATTAGACTGAAACATGTTGGGTAATTTATATATTAGTAACAATTAAAATCAACATATTTAAATAAGCACAGGATTAAAAAGGGTGTTCTTTCCTCTCCACTTACCTTGATGAGAATGTGGGGGTTTCCAACAATTAGGAGCAGAGCTTTGGAACGAGTGATGGCCACATTGAAGCGTTTTGGGTTGGCCAAAAAGCCCAGCTGACTCTGCAAATCAGTACTTTCCATAGACTCGTTAGAACGCACCTACAACATAAACCAAAATGAACTGATCAACTGTCACATACTACTAAATTATTCATTGATTTATTAACGATG